CATGATGCGAGCACATATTTTGCGATTAGATTTGGGTTCTTCTTAAGTAAAACGGCGGATTGAGAAACACGTCACTCGAGATCGAGCTTCTCGCGAGCTCCGGCGCATAAGAAAATAGGTAACGGCATCCTCTTTAAACTTGGATCGCACATTCTAACTTGCGCGAGGATCGTCGAACTTCCGTGTCTCGTTCGCTACATATTAAAACGCGCGGACGTTCGCGTTTCTTTTAAGCTCGAGCACCGAGTGACGTTCCGATGAACGACGAAGTAAAGTTAATTCGACTCTCGGTTCCGCGCGCATTCGAATCGGTATCTATGTATATCACGCAGAAAAAGGATTAGCCAATGAAGCTAAAATATAGCTATGACAGCTAAGATGTGTCGTTAAAATAGGGACAGCTAATGTCGTTGCTGCCAAAGTTCAATTTATTAGTTATTAAAATGTAGGTGCTACAGCAAAAAATATTTGCTGTTAAAATCAAACGATATTTAACCGAATCTACTATGTTATTTTATCTTTGTAATAGAGAAATAATATTTGCAATATGTAGCTTATATACTGCAAAATATAAATGCTAAATGCGCTGTAGATGTGCATATGACAGCGCCATATTGCAGAAACAATTACAAATCAAAGTTTCCGGCGTATAGCTATAAACTTAACTCTGTGCGCTAAATGTGTGCATGATAAGACATTTAGGTACGCATGCCATCTTTTTAGCTGCCTGTACTGATATATGCTTTTAATTTCAGTTAATAAATTTTTTGTCACATTCAGAGCTAGGCAAAATATATCATTAAAGTATTTAAAATACAAAAAACAAAATACTGGTAATCTTAGTATTTGAATTACAAAATATAAAATATTTTCAATCTGAAATATCTTTCAATTTGAAATATATAAAATACAAAATACTTTTAATCTTTCGATTTGATATACAAAATATAAAATACTTTTAAGTTTTCATTTAAAATACAAAATACTTTTTAATTTAATCTTTCAATTACAATAATATATATTGTTAAACTTCCCCCTCCAACAGTCCCCTCTCCACTTTTTAAAGAGAGAAAGAAAAGTTGTTTTACTCTCTTATACTCTTTAACAATCCTATTGTCCTGTATCAACCGCACGAGAAATCTAATGTGAGATTATGAAATTTGACTCTGATAACTTGATATTGCTTGAAAATTGATGAAAATAATTAGTGTCTCTAATTGTCATATTGAGAAAAATTTAAGTTACTATTAATTGTTGTCGAGAATTTTTATCAATAATTTCTTTAGTATTTCAAATACAAAATAGATTAAAATTGTATTTAAAATACAAAATATGTACATTGAATAACTTTTTTGAAATACAAAATACAAAATACTTTTATATACTTCGCTGAAATACAAAATACAAAATACAAATTGTATTTCAAATACTGTATTTCAAATACAAGTATTTGAAATATGCCCAGCCCTGGTTACATTGAATGTTTTTTTTATCTGTAATAGCCAGAACTTAGCAATAACATTAAGGCGGTAGCTCTTGCAGCTAATAAGATTGATTCAGCTATTGAAATTTAGTTATAACTATTACTAACATAAGTCATTTTTTTGCGTGTTACGTATCTCCAGAGATCGCGGAGGACGGAGATTCTGGAATCTCTCTGTGAGTTATAGCTAATCTTTGAGAATCCGTAGGTGTCCCGAGGATCTCCGGGGATTCCCGGCACGGATCCTCGGGATCTGTGAGACACCTACAAGAATCTTCAAAACTCACTGTCGAAACAGCGCGACCGCGACCCCTTCCTCGATCGAAATGTGCATCATCGCGGTCGACGCGCGCGGACGAGCTTTCCTCTGTTTGAACAATATATCGGACAATATAGCGGTGGTTCATGCGCGGCGAATTATTTGACCAGTCTCAATACTTTTCTAGCTCGCTGCGTCCGACGTCTGTTTGCCCACGCGAATCAATTTTATCCGTCACTCCCTTCTCTCACCTCCTTCCCGCCCGCGGGAACCTTCTTCCGCCGTATGTAATCAGTATTTCAAAATCTATACTCGAAATCAACGGCAAATATTTGCAATCATACCGGCTGCTCGCAGATTCTCATCCGGGAATGGTTGTGACATATAACAACAACGACGTATAATACATTGAAAATAATAATATTGTGAAATACTTATTTGTGTCGCTCGCACAATATGCATTATATAGGATATTTAAGTCGATTCATTTCCACTGTATATATAACTAAAGGATGCCACTGACGGGAGTATGTCGTATAATTCCGGTCGCAAATGTTGCTCTATATAGTTGATCGTTAATTGATATCGAACGCACAGCATCGCTTCACGTGTCGTCGGTCTAATTAAAATACGTAACGCGTGGGCGCGTACGCGCATTGTATACGTTGCATAAAAATAAATCTGTTGCCAATAAATATTTTGTAGCGGTATTATTTTTAATAATTGACAATTCACGACAGGGTCTAAGATGTTTCCAATTTCATTCGCCCATGTTTTTTCAGGTATAATAAAAAATAACTTGCATAATGACTAGTAAATGATAAATACACCTGTAATTTTTTACATACATTTTGAAAAAGGAATTCTCGATGGGATTTGTATATGGAAAGAACGATTTTGTTGAAAGATCTAAAAATTTTGCTAAATATAGATTTGAAAATAATTTTTTGTTGAATCATCAAAATAATTTGTTGAAATGTTAAAACTAATAAGCATTGAGATCGGAAGAGCACACG